CCCTGACAGTGAGTTTGTTGTCCTTTCTGTTGTCCATTTTGAATGCAAAATTGTTTTTTCTNGTGGTGAGATATTAGTTGTTGCAAATGTTTGAAATTAGATACAATCGAACGCAGGTTTTGTGAGTAGTAAAGTGGTGTATGCTTAAGTACGGGTCATCGCCGGGACGAAGGACATTCTATCACCGTGTAATGAAAGCTTCTTGCCGGGACAGACCTCAACCTGCTCGGAAACATTTATAGCACCGGGCCGTCACGCCGACGCTTAAGGTTTCGCGCCTCAAAATGTAAACACTTCCGGGTTGAACGAGCCAAGGACATTATACAGGTCTTTGAACGAACGTAAAATTATGTGGAAAAATACCATAAATCCGCGAAGAGATAAATATTTTCCCCCAAGGTTCTTTGAATTATGCATATTGTCCCTATATATGGCTATGCAATCGTGGAAAACAACGTTTTTATGGCATGTTTTTAAACAAAGAAAAATTGTTTCCGTGCGCGCGGTTACGGGAGCATGGTATCTTCCCATATATGAAAATGTACTTCATAAATATATGCAAGATTAATGCATACAAAAAATGCATACGTTCGTACATTAGACCACACCGATTTGATTTTATGGATGACATCCTCTGAAAACCCCCAAACTAGTGCGCGCGGGTGAATAAAAAAAAATTCCGGCCAAAAATAGAAATGCTACTAAATCACAGGAACACAAAGCTGGAATTGTGAATTTGCGACAGTGCGTAGTGACGTATACGACAAGCCGGCACATGCTGGCTTTTTGTGGTATTTATTTATCGGTACTGCGCTCTTATGTACTGAGTTTTTGAGTCGTGGGGCTTCGGTAGCTGGGTGCCCGGCTCCGTATTGTCGCTAACTACCATGGACTACCCAGGCCTAGAGCCAGGCCAGACCCTCGGTGGACGTGATTTTTTTTTTTGAGGGGCAGGCGAAAATCAATGCGCGCGCGGATGCCATCCATAAAATTAAGTTGGTGTGGCCTCACCTACATTAAACGCCCTTCCACGTAACCTGTGCAACAAAACTGAAGGGTTGATAAATGCCAATTAAAATTTCTAAATCCAAACGTGTTTTAGGAAAATGTAACGAACAGCATGCGGCAGATAATTGAGACGTTGTTTATTATTGCAAATACAATAGTATAATCAAACAATTATTCCATGGATCCAAGATCAGGGCATGCCAATACATTTCGCATCGTTATAGTATTCGTATTCTGTATTTATCAAGTTCTATTGAATGCCTAATGCAATTAAGTGTTTTGGGGGTAATCATGAGGTCTGTTCATGTTTTCGTATACTGCAAATCAAGTACCCGGTAAACCGTTCATCATTATCACAAATTTCGAAAACACTATAAACAGTATCACCTTTAGTGTAATGTTTTCACTGAAATTGGGAAAAAAATTGAAGCTTGGAAGATTGTCCTAGATTTTATATTGTGGTACCTCCTGTCCCTGAAATAGCCGAAAGTAACACTAGTAAATTGTGTGCCAAATGAATCTGTTGTACGTACATGAAAGTAACATCTAGGATGACCTCATGATTAGCCCCAAAACAGTTGTATTTTAATTGTATAATACATTCAATAGAACTTGATAAATACAACATAAGAATACTATAACGATGCAAAATGTATTGCCATATCCTGATTTTGTGGGGTCGTGTGGCGTAGTGGCAGAGTGCGTTGTGCACTGTGTTGGTGGCGGCATTAATATAAACTTGAGTGTGCCGTCACCAAGTCTGGAGATTACTAAAAATATAGGATGGGCTAACTATTATATGCTATTACATAACTCTATTTATATCAGAGGCAATTGAATCTACAAAAATAACTGCAACTTTAGTGCTACCCCTGATTATCAACATAACAATTGTGACAATCTGTACCTGCCAGGCAGCATGCCAGGTATAGAAGACCAATTTTCGGAAGGCCCATTTTGTTCTGTGTTTTCACACCAACTTGCCCAAACACATCAGTACCACAGCTTACAATGAACCTTGTGTGACATTTGTGGACGCCTTAGCAAAATACGTCGGCTTATTCTCTGTCATGACCTGTTACTTGACACTTAATCATATCATGAAATCTGTAATCAC